AATGGAATTAAAAAAAAAAAAGTGTGTGTGTGTGTGTATTTAGTGTCAGGGATTGAACCCAGGGGTGCATAACCACTGAGCCACATCCTAGCCCCCTTTTTAAAATATATTTTATTTAGAATTGGGGTCTTGCTAAGTTGCTAAGGCTGGCTTTGAATCTTATATTTTGTACAAATTTAAAATCACTTTTCTTTACAATAAATATGATTCTTAATAGTCCTGGTTGTTAAGAGAATCTTCCACAGATCCACTTTGAGAAACAAGAGAATGATGCATATAAAGCATTTTCCATATATATATATATATATATATATATATATATATATATATATATACATATATATACATACATACATACATATACATATACATATACACACACACATAATACACACACAAACACATATGGTTTGATAACCATCAAATGAAAACAGAATAGGAATGGAAAAGAAACACTATTCATCATAGTAACATGACTTGTAGCACTATGGTAAAAGGGCCTATCAATGTTTCCACTGTAAACTGCATTTTTTTGAGGGTTACAACATTGCTGATGCAGATCCATTAGCACTATACTTATATACAAAGTGTCAGCTTGGAACACACACACACACACACACACACGAAGACTTGGCATGCAATCAATATTAGCCATCACTGTCATCTTTAGGTAAAGATAAAAGATAATTTTGGAGATTTGAAGGGGAAAGTTTCTAGTAAAATTCCTATAAATTTTACTTTAGTATATGTGCTCTGTTCCCTTCTTTAAAGCAGCTTTAATAATATTACATGTGGTTCCTCAAAGAAAGAGGTACAAAAAGCTATGGAATCAGTATTTTTGGCCTGGGACTTAAGGAGGCAATCAGGTTACTGTGTGTTCAAAGATTATAAAGTTGTAAGATACAATTTTATTGCAACCTCCCATATTTAATTTTTATACTCAAAATGAATTAAATAAAGTATTGTGACTTAAAAAATCATTAGATTAAAACTACAATTCTACAGTAAGTAAGTTGTTTTTTGTTTTTGGTGGTACTAAGGATTGAACCCAGGACCTTGTACAGTTAGACAAGCGTTCTACTACTGAGCTATACTTCCAGCTGAACAGTAAGAGAGTTTGATAACCATCAAAAGAAAACAGACTGGGAGTGGAAAAGAAACACCATTCATCATAGTAACATGACTTGTGGCACCACAGTAAAAGGGCCTGTCAGTGTTTCCACTGTAAACTGCATTTTTTGAGGGTTACAGCATTGCTGGCACAGATCCCTTAGCACTATACTTACATACAAAAAGTGTCATCCTGGAACATACATAGTATAGATTTGTAATAAGTTTCCCTAAGTAGTAATCATCACAAACTTTAGGAACTAGAAACTTTAAAAAAGTCCTTAACAATTACACCCATGTACATACACAGAGAGAAGCCATTAAGAGCTGATGGAAAACAATCTTCTAATATTTGCATAAAGATTTTATAGGGATCAAGATAGGATGGCAGAAAATAATGCCTTGAAGCATTAGTGTATGAGGAAAAAATATATACACACACATACATGAAGACTATTGCTATTGAGATTTCAGTGATTTAGGATTAACTCAGCAAATTCAGAAGGAATTTGACATAAAAATCCTCATACTTGCTCTATCTTTGCCACTGATGTCCTTCTCCAGCTATTGCTATTCTTGTACCTGACACCTCCTCATCTTGTTGCATGATCCACTGAGGGTCTTACTTTCTTACTACAGCTTCCTGTCATGAGAAATGCCTAGTAGTCTAGGCCACCATTCAGGCTGTCTCCTTCCCTGTTACCTCAGGATTCAAGTTCTTCAATGTCAAACAGGTGGTTCTTTAAACCTACTGTTGCTCAAGTTCTAGGAACCTAGGACTCAAGTTTAGGATAACTGTTAGTATTAGTTATATTTTGAATTAATAGTTTTTTGTGTGTGTTAGTCTGCTCTGTGTACACTTATAACAGGGTTTCTTTTGGAAAATGTATTATGAGTTATAAATAAACTTCACAAATCATTTATAATTGAGGAGATCCAGAATTACCATACGATGTACAAATTTCAATCCTAGGTATATTATAAATAAGACTGAAAACAGATTCAAACTGATATTTATACACAAATGTTCATAGTAGCTCAAAAGTAGAAACAACCCAACTGTACATCAACAGATGAATAAACAAATGTGATATATATATGCATTTTTATATATAGATATGTGTGTGTATATATTTATATATAAATTTATTTATATATATAAATTTATTCAACCATTAAAAGGAATGATAAACTGGTATATGCCACAACATGGATGAACCTTGAAGACATTAGGTTAAGTGAAAGTAGCCAAACCAAAAGTCAAATATTATTTAATTCCACTTATATGAAACATCTAGAATAAAGTTAATTCAGAGACAGAAAGTAGATTAGAGTTTCTCTAAGGATCAGAGGAGGAGGAAATGGAGAATTACTGCTTAATGAGTATAGA